CACTCTCTTCACTTTGTGCACGGCCTCAGATTCTATATTTACAATCTGCAATTTCATATTTACAATCTGTCAGGTTTGAACAATATTGGTGGTGTTCATTTCAAACATATCGGCAAATCAGCATGTAGCAATTGGAATACATCAATATAATTATTCTTCCATGACATTAGTATTCAGTTCAGTTGTACATACACAAATATATACAAATATATTCTGATTGTATTTAGGAACCAAAGGAGATTGCGATACATTTACATTGTGATGTAGTCAGAGGCCAGAGGCCCAACAACTGTTTCCTGTTTTGTTTTGTTTTTCATATACAGCAAAACACGAATAGGTCGAACACAAAAGACTCAAAATCATGCATCTGTCGAGCCTGCCGTCCCAGTTTTGTTTTCTTCTTTATCTTTATAAGATATTCCTCGAACTACGAATCCCTCAAACTACCAAGGCCGATCCCGACGAATTCGAGCTATTCGTGCTATACTGTAGTTATTTCACACACCCATTGACACAATTTTGATCATTTAGGAGATAAACTTCCACTTTGCCTGCCAGGGCCAACCCGGAGTAAGGGGGATACAACCCTTCCAGCAGAAAAATACAAAATACTTGATAAAAATTATCCCCACAATGGGAATCAAATCGGTTTTCAGCATGTGATGGGTAAGTGCCTAATAGGTACACAACCAGCATCAGTCACATGTCTCAACAACAATTGAGGAGTCTACGAGAAAAACGGGAATAGTCACAAACTGAAAATTGTGAGGGTATCAATTTTAAACGCTTGTTGACTTATTATAAAATTGTACCTTTGTTCAACTGTTGGTTGATTATTGTTGTTAGATTTTCCATTCAACTTTCATAACAAATAAACCACCAATAAAATAAATATGAAGTTATAGGTCCACAAGCTTTTAAAATTTACACCCTCGCAATTTCCAGTTTGCGACTATGTCCGTATATCCCGTGGACTCCTCAGTCACCTTTCCAAGATTAGGCATACAATACCGACATGGAAACACTGCAGGAAAAAAAAAAGAATGAGTAGACATACTACAGAAGCCATCAAAAGACGTATAGAGAAAATCTGGTTCATTCAACACCAAACTCTCCAATTCATAGAAAAAATAAATGTGGATGATCACACACACATACACACACCCATACATATTCCCTTCATCATATATACACACATTATCAAAATAAACAAGAATAAACAGGTCCAAAAAGAACGTATCAAGGGACAATAGGATGTTTGAATAAGAACATTTTTAAGAGTGAGAGACAAAAAGGCAAAACGTCTCAGCACTCTATGTTGTCATCTTGAGTTGCGGTTTACAGAGAAGTAGCATGATAGCAGCCATATATTTCACCTAAAGCAGATAAGCATAAGACAAACGCTACAATAAAGACACACAAACAGATGAATTTAAAGACAAACACTACAATGAAGACACACAAACAGATGAATTTAAAGACAAACGCAACAATGAAGACACACAAACAGATGAATTTAAAGACAAACACTACAATAAAGACACACAAACAGATGAATTTAAAGACAAACACTACAATGAAGACACACAAACAGATGAATTTAAAGACAAACACTACAATGAAGACACACAAACAGATGAATTTAAAGACAAACACTACAATGAAGACACACAAACAGATGAATTTAAAGACAAACACTACAATGAAGACACACAAACAGATGAATTTAAAGACAAACGCAACAATGAAGACACACAAACAGATGAATTCAAAGACAAACACTACAATGAAGACACACAAACAGATGAATTTAAAGACAAACACTACAATGAAGACACACAAACAGATGAATTTAAAGACAAACACTACAATGAAGACACACAAACAGATGAATTTAAAGACAAACACTACAATGAAGACACACAAACAGATGAATTTAAAGACAAACACTACAATGAAGACACACAAACAGATGAATTTAAAGACAAACACTACAATGAAGACACACAAACAGATGAATTTAAAGACAAACGCAACAATGAAGACACACAAGCAGATGAATTTAAAGACAAACACTACAATGAAGACACACAAACAGATGAGCATATAAAGACAAACACTACAAAGAAGACAGTCTCCATCTGCCACCCACATAGCACTCTACACAGTTTCCTCACAAGACAAACAGTGGTGTGAAGAGTTCAGACACCTTCTAAGACTGATTCACAACAGTTGAACAAAGAGTAAACCATCTCATAATATGTTAGACAATGGCGATACGAAACAAAAACAAAAGAAAAAAGACGTCTCAATCCATCACCACAACATCTGACACATATATTCGGACAATTCAATCCCTCACCGTAAAAATATATCTGTTAAAACTGTGCTTTGCATTAGTGTTGTTTGCATTACCGCACCAAGTACAAAAATATTTGGGCTAAAATCTTCTTTTTTGTGTTTACCAATTCTCTTTGTTATAAAGGTGACTAAAGAAATAAGTAGAATAAAAACAAGGATCAAATTCATTTGCACAAGTAATAGGTGTATTGACTGACTGGCCTTAAAATCAGGATTTCATACATCTAGCACACGGCGCACCGGCAGTGGAATTTTAGTAGCAGCAGGAGGTTCCCCGTCGAGGGCCTTATTAAGTCAGGGTCACGGGGGTCAGCTCCTTGTTGCCACTCTGTCTTAGCTGACTTAATTTTTGGTACTTTTCAACGTACAGTTTTAGATGTATCCTTGTATTTTTGGAAATTATCATTTAATGCACCCAAAGCATGCATTTCTGCTCTTGAGGCTCAAAAAGGAACAGGCATTGTAACTCATCTGTTTTTTTCGTAAGACACGCTGAAGTCGGCAATGCTAAATTGTAAAATTATTTGGACAAGTCCGGAAAGAAAAAAAATCAATATAAAGAAACCAAAGATAAAAACTGTCAAACTTTTGGAACATGAACGACATAACATTGGTGCAGATACTCAGAAAAGACGGTATCTGCACATATTTATAGAAAGCTGTAATTTTGCAACTTTATCTATCAGGCATACAACTTTATGTGTCTAATAAAATCATGAATATTCACATATTTTCTCGAAAGTTTTTAAAAATTACCCTGAAGTCTATGAAAAAGTGCAAACTGATTTTAGTACCAGAATACATCTACAATGAAACACACGAACAGTAGTCTATCTGTTACACTCCAGAAATTCCTTACTTTTCTTAAGACGTTAAGTCTAGGTTTTGTAGGTTGACTGAACAACAGGGATGACTTCTCGTAATTGGGTTATAAGAATAATTTCTAGCTTTCCAGTGACACTGAATCAGCACCAGACTTTTCCAGCTTTTATTTTCATTTCTATGACCATTTACAATAACTGACAATGTTCTGATTTCTTTACAGTCATAAGTGTCTGCGCATATTTCCGACACAAAAAGTATGAATGAATGTGTTAGCTGTCATTATTTTTATTCCATACAAGAAGTTTATCTCTACCCATGTATTTTACACAGTTTCGTGGGGGGTTTTTAATCCCATAATATATCTTTCTTAGTTGTATGCAGGCTGCCACAGACACAGCATGATCATGAACAAACCCAGAGTAACTTTCTCTTGTTTAATGGTAAAACAAGAGCTAATACTGAGTGTCTTTAGTTAAAAAATACAAATGTGTATCTTTCTTCTCCTATAACTTGACTATTACTACTTGCGCAGATTAAGGATTTCTCATGGTAAAAGACATTTTCGTAGTCAGTTTAGCACAGATTTTTTAATCATTTATAAAAAGTAGGATAAATCGGGTACTCAAGGCACAGAAATTAACCATTCTAACGCAGAATAAATCTCAAGACGTTGAGTTTTCAGTACATCGGTGTAATGGTTTGCTGTGTGGGATGGGGAAGAAGTCATATTATTTCAAACGTAGACAAAAATGCAAACTTCTTAACTGACACCAGTAAAGTCGTTTCAGGGTTCATTAACCCCGTGACCCGAGGCCGGGAAGCTCCGTTGGGCTGCTGAGTCACGCGAACTAAAAGTAACACAATATGGCCAAAAGTGACGCTGTGAGCATCACTATGACTTGTGATAAAATGTATGAAATCACGCTAGAAAAATAAAACAAGCTAAAAAGAGCCAAACGTGAGGCAGCGTGGTGAAATCAGGCGCTCGTCAAAATAACGACATCGGAGAAACAGGAATTTTCCCGATAGTTTGGAAATGTTTATCAAATTTTTATTTCTTGGCTTAACCTCTTTAAAGCTCACATTTCCATTTGAATTTTACAGAATAACATTGATTAAAGGCACAAAATATATCATTTTTCAGTTTTTAAAGACTCTTTAGCTATTGCAGTTACCAAACTTTGGCAGCCATTTTCTCACTAATTTCCCCACTGAAACCAGGCGACCTCACTTCCTTCAATCTCAAATATCTTGAATTCTATTCAAGATCAATGGATATACTTATTCCATTGGAAGCAAGGCAAATAAATCAGCTTTCAGATGACTCCAATAGCTCCACATGCCCAAAAACTGATGAGCGTCTGATTCCATTGCATCGTGACACATATTATGTCTGTGCTTTTAGAACAAACTTCAACGTCAATGCTTGTCAACCTTTTAGCAGTTAGCGCCTACTTTTGCAACATTTAAGAGGCTAAAACTTTTGTACCACCCACCAACATGTATTTCCGAGTGGGACATTAAATAACACCTGTCACTACCACCACCCATCATAATTACGAAATTGCTCACTAGTGGGTAATACATCAAGGTGACAATTTACTCCTATTCCTTTGCCATATAACTCATTTTTCAGCTTATTACAGGATAGAGACCTATTCACTATATTGTAAAAAAATAAGGGAGACATGATAATGAAGTGATTACAAAACTCACATTTTGATTTAGTAAACACATTATGTCTCACAAAGGGTCCAGCTTACACAACAAATGACCCTGATTTTTTTATACGTATAAATTTTTTTTTTTTTTGGGGGGGGGGGGGGGGGTGTTATAAGTGTTTTATAGTGCTCGCAACTGCTTACCATCATATGAGCACATGGGACGCATTAAGCAGTTTCAATTCGATAGGAATTAATTTTGAATTTTGCCCGGGTGGCGGCTGAAACCTACTCTTATCAATTTTAGGACCATCAAAGGATCTTCAACGTGCACAACTTCTGCCCCTTTCCAGAAAGGCTAGGTGTTTGATCTCATCTACCCTAAGATCAGGGGTGTTGCTGAAAGGTTGCAGTAAGAAGGAGCCAAGGAGTAGCAGTAGAAAGAATCAGGAGCCCAGAGAAACATTATTCCATTTTAAAAACCTGCCTACTATAAAGGCAATAACTAATCAGAGTGAAACAAAAAAACGTTACTTTCAAGCAAAGAAATTTTTTTTTAAAACATTTCTATTACTGGACTTATCCAACATTACAGCAGCACAGGCCTTTCAGAACGAGAAAGATCTAACAACCATGAATGAAAGCTTACTAAAAAGCATAAAACAGTAGCTAAGACCTTTGTATCCGGAGGTATTCCAGCAAGTCCGAGACATTCTCTCCCTCTTGAGGAATGTCCGGTCGACAAGCGCCTTGTTCATTGTCTTTGGAACTGTTCACCTGGGTCAGGCGAGATTTGGTGGGAGATCTGAACGTGTCTGCCCTCCCAGACTTTTGCGATGTCCCATTTTTCACGGGGCTCTTATTGTCCTCGTGAAAGTACTCGTTGATCCGCATAATACAGCCATCTTGGAGAAGCCGCATGGCTATGTTAGCGATGTTCCGGGCATCATCCAGCCCACAGTGTGGCCGGCCTTGAAACTTCATGCCAAGGTCATCCAGCATGTGCTGAAGGTTGACCCTGCCTACACCATAGAAAGCAGAATAGGCTTTGCGTAAGTTGATCCATTGCTTGGCCCATGCAGGGAAGTCAATACCGCTGAGTTCGGTCTGTGTTCTAAGAAACCTTGCCATATCCCATGGACTGGAAGAAAAATAAAAATAAAAAGGAAATTTTTTTTTTTTAAATGTAAGTATTGGTAAAAAACGTACTTTTTTAAAGACTATTTTTGAAAAACAAATAATGTAGAAGTTGAAGGAATTCTTTAAAAGTTTCAGTACATAAACTATAGAACACAGGAATAGATAACATTTCATCCAAATAGATCCAAATATCTAAAGAAAAACTGTTTCGAAACCTAAGAGTTACACTGAAAGTGAAATGTTTACTACCTTAGGGTGAGAGAAAATGGCTCCCTTTTTATCTAAGTCAAATTTCGGCAGAAAAGAACCACATCACAAGAGAAAAAGAGCTTGAGAGGCAAACAACAACTTCATTTTGTGAAATCAATCTGCATTTATGGATTTTATAGATGCATCTCATTTTATTCTTTGGAAAAAAATCATCTTTCTCTTTGCCTTCAGATGGTACTTCAAAAGAAAATTGATTCCTCTTTAGCCTGCTGACTCTCTTTTGTGCTTTACAGAAGGTGGTGCAGAAAAAAAAAAAGCGAACGTATCCATTGAACATTTACATGTTAAATGTAATTTGAGGATTTTCATAATCAAGTCAAACTTTGTCATAACAATAACAAACAATGTTGTTACATGCAATACACAATTCAAGTTGAAACCAAAGGGAAGTAACAAAAATGTATTTCACATTTGTCCCTCCTTCAGTTTATCTTCCCATTTTTAATTTTCAACCACCCAAGCAAGTTTTTTAAAGCAAATTATGAGCATTGCTTTATCTGTGATGTAGAACTCACTGCCACAGAAAAAATAGTCACCATAAGAAAATGGTTTTCTCTATAATCTTATCTTTGACTCAACATGTAATCTTGGTAGGCTCCATGTGATTTCTACAAGAATGGTACAATACGGGTATAACACTGATTTTATTATTTAAGAGGAGGGAAATCAGATTTACTTTCACATCCTATGTGACCAAAACAATAATCAGGGGCAGTGACAAGAGTCGTTGTCTATTTATGAATTTTATTTGGATTTACAAAAATATGAATTTTATTTGGATTTACAAAAAACACCAAGAGATGAGTGTCGATTGAAGTAGGACCTATAAAACTAATCTACATTATTAATTGATACCGCATAACTTTTAAACATATGCTGATGCTCTACCTTTTAAAAAGAATTTGTTTTTAAAATTAATCTCTATATACCTCAGCTATAATAATGTTTCACTTTCCAAGACTTTACGTACCCATCTGTTAGAATGGCAAACTTATGCTCTGTTCCCAATCCATGTATTGACATCCATTCTTCAAACTCTGAGAAAACTTCAATGAAGTCATTTGATTTGTCCACTTGATGCTGAAAAAATAAAAATAAAAGTATGGATTATAGTAGAAAAAAAAAACCCACTCCAATTTTACAAAGACCATCATTAGCATGATGATAAACCAGAACAGAATCACCACACATTTATACGAAGGTATGAGAGAGCAGATCTGAACAAACTTAAAGCATTTTTAATGAATAAAAAACAAACAAAACAAACAACAGAAAGGAACAGTGGTACAACACTTCGTATACTTTTGGGAAAAACAGCCACTTACCAGTTTTAATGCCCTACTTTTCAATGCCATAGCCCAATGAATACAAACGAAAATTTGAAAAAATTTACCTGAGATATCCCTGTCAAATCTGTGCAAAACTGAGTCAGAACAGGGTTCAGTCTTGGTTTACAGAACCTTTGGAAAACATTGCACTGGAACAGACAGAAAACGCGATCAATATATCAGGTTATCAACATCATCAAAGTGCAGAAAAGTGAAGAATTTGTTTTAAAAAATATACAACAGTAAAAAAAAAACAACCCAAAAATGTATTTGAGGCCGATGTTTACATTAATCATGTGATGGACCTATGCAATGTATCACAGCCTCAAACAACTGAAAACTTGTAATCTTGAGTCTCATTCAATATACCTTGAATTTGCTCCCTCCGACATCTGTTTTCAAGAAAAGGTTAAAAAGCCCAAAGTTGATTCTTCTGTAGATCCTTGATATTTGTTCTGACATGTTCAGTTCTAAGAGACATTGACCAAACTTATACACTCATGTTCTAGGAACTGAGTTTTCAGTCATCCTGTGCAACTAAAATCAGCTTGCCACATGCATTTGATATCACTGGGATCCTACAACTTGTGACTTTGCCTACTTATCAAACAATCACCACAAAAAAAGCGATCGACTAGATAGTTTCTTGATTACAGAGAACCCAACAAAGCAGGAAAGAGCTACTGAAGTCAAAAGACCCATTAACACTAAAACAAAAAATTTCCCAAATCAAGAATCAATTTGTTTATTTTAGAAGAGAAATAGAAACAAACAACCTACCACGGCCATGTTCTGCGTGTCGATCAAAACAGCAGGAAATTCAATAATCTCATGCACAAAGTTTTCATTGGTCTCACTGCAAGTTGCTTCATAATCAATGACAATCAAGTAGCGGTATTTCATCTTCTCCTCGGACGACAGCTTGTGACTCTGAGCAAGTCGTTGACGCTTGTAGTGGTTCTTCAGACGTTTCTTCAACACGTCTTTACTCCCACTGAAATGAGAAATAAAATTATAAAAAGAATAATTTTGAAAAGCTTCACAAAATTTTATAGAACTTTCAGCAATTAAAAAGGACAAAAGATGATATAAGTTCAAGGTATCAAGAGGAAAACACATTAAACTTTTCATACGAAACCTGTTTACTATATGTATAAATTGAGAATGAATGTAAGCAATCCTGTGGAAAAAATATATTGTTACAAAACAATCTATTTGGTGTAATATTTATTTATAAACTTTAATCATTTAAAGAGCCTGCGGCTACCACTTCATGGCACTAAACAGACAAGGAAAAACTGTGCAGTCCTGGATAAATACAAAAAGAATAATAACAGCTTGTCCTTCAATGTCTGATGACAGATGATCACCAATACATCCGTAGGGGAAAATATTTCTTTAGCGAAATAGAAGACTTAGAAAAGTTAAAGGTTAAGATGACTTCTGCAGAGATGCCAACCACAGAAAACCGAAATGAGTATTGGGAAATATGAAAATGTGTATTTTCAGTTGAAAATGTGTATTCCCCACGACCGACCGACCGACCAACCAGTAGGCTAAAACAGCACCTAGACATGGATGGCTGGTGCCTCTATAAATAAATCATTGATGGTCGACCAACCAGTAATAGTAAAATGTTCAGGGTGTCCAGCAATATTTCCTGAAAAAAAATTACTAGCTCACCAGCTCGAAAAAGGGAGCACACACGCGTACAACATACATGTATCCAGTCAACAACATGTCAGTGTTCAATGTTGTACTGGGGTCTTGTTTGACTTAAGTATTTCAGTCTTCTCCTGCTTTGAGAGTTCGGAAGGGCTTAGAACAAGAATTTCGACTATCAAGAACCAGTCTGGATGTCATGATTCATATTATGAACTGACAGACTCAAATTATTGCTCAAACTCAGAGAAAAGCAATAACTTGAATGGCTCAAGTAGACCCATGCACTGTGAGAGTTGTAACAACTGTGGAAGGGCAAGATGCAGTGACACTGAAAATCTGTCAGTCTTGAACAGAAAGCTACAACATACACTGTAGTTATAATTTACTAGATCTATCACCCATCCAATGAAACACGAACACTTTATTTCAATAACACAGACTTGCGAAGTCACGATGGCGAGCCAGACAATCTAAAAATCGGACGACGCTTGTACTTTCTTTTCTTTTCTTTTTTTCCACAAGTGACAGCACAGCGACGAGTCAGAGTATTTATTCCATTTTATTTGCACGGCGACATTGTGTTTATACTGCACAACCCGCATGCCACAAATGTTGCATTATCAGACAACTGCTGGCAAACTTCTCGGTGGTAACGAAAGCGAAAGTAGATCTTGATTTTCCCGATCGAGCCTCGGTGTCACTATTACGTTTCCGCCTACCGCCATAGCTGCCTTTTCGCGTGAAAGTGAAACGTACCCTCCAGACGGGGAAAAGCTAAACGAATATAATATCACGATAGCGACCGGCAAAAATGAACTTACTGACCACATTGGACTTGGTTTTCAATTATTCCAGTTCTGCGATACTGATACTATTTTGACAAAAAATGACCTGAGATAATTAACTATGTTTACTCGCCCAAGCTGAATCTCGTAGTTTTCGCATTCCAGGATGCGTATTTTTTCATGAAAAATCGTATTCGCGTATTTTCGGCCAAAAATCGTACTAAAATACGTAAAATCGTACTGGTTGGCATCTCTGTTTCTGGCTTCTGCAGTGACAACATACAAATAGACCTATTTATTTCATTTGTGTGTGTAGCTCAATGGTCAAGCTCTTCACTGACTTTGCAAGCAAAGAATGAAAGAAACATTTCAAGGATGGGAAGATATCTTATCAAGCACCTTTATCTTGGTACAGGGAAGTATTATTCCTCACAGTCTGGGTTTGCCTCTACAGACAGACCAAAGCAGCCAGCCTACTAAATGACTTAAACAGTGTCAATAGGAGTGTAAAACATGTACAGCCATTGTTTATTGAACTATGATTTAATTAACATTGTGCTGAACTGATGTATACATATCATATCAATAACTTCAATAACATTTGGAATGAATCATCAAAACAAAGAAAGTTTCATAATCACCATGAATTCAGCCGTATATGCATCAGTTTTGCCTGAAGTTGTTCCTTGGTCATTTTGTTTATTGTGCCATTGATCATGGACAACTTTTGTTGTATTTCATCTCCATAGGCAAAGCCACTTGCACCGGAGTCTAGACGAGCCTTTGGCCTAGACTTTGACAGATCAGTTGCTGAGCTTGGCTGCTGAAAAAAGTCCCCCAATGCAGGAAATGCCTGGGCCAGAAAAAAATACACAAAATATTAATCATTTCAATTTTACGTTCCCAAATCAGAATAAGTTATTCTTTTGTACTTGTAAAGGAACTTCGCTTCCACCAACCTACTGCTTCAAAATAGTTCACTCTTTGTAATAATGAAAAGAGTTGAGTTTTGACTTAGAAAGAAAATCAATATTACTTAATTTCTTGCAGAAAGCACATTAAAATGATACCTTTGCAGTTCTCCATAATGCATCAGTTCACCATTCTCACTCCATTTTCTTAATTGGACTCTCGATAGACCATGTTCAACAGCTTAATTTTTCACAAAAAAGATAGCACAAGGCATAATCCTGAAGTATTATATTTTCTTTTTCACAAAAAAGTGTCCCAGGAAGCTAAAATTCCATCTGTTTCTCTGTAAAGTATGAACGAGAAACTGAACAAAGTTCCACTTTTGAAGGAGAAGTGACCATATCTCAACAGCACCAGTATCAAAATAATTGAAACACCAATGCTAAATACCGTCAAACCTGCTCTAATGGCCACCTGTATAAATGGCCAATTCCCACTTCCCCTCTCTCGTATTTTTATACATTATAATGGCACTATGTAAGATGGCCTCATTTCTCAGATGGCCTCCATCCGCCTCGACATTAGATGGCCCAAGGATGGCCCTCTTAGGCAGTTTCAACTGCATATATCTTCGAAAGAGATGTAAAATTTCAAGCCACAA